AAAAAAAAAAAAAAAAAAAAAATTTACCAAAATTTTATGTGAAAATAAGTACCTCGCAAAAGCGCCTTGAACAATTTCTGCACAATCTCTATAGACGTTTCCCTAGGCCCATTTTCCACTTTGCGTAGCGCGGCTTTTTTTCCCATTCACCCCACCCCATATGCACACACGCACATACACACAGGAGATCCCAGTTTGGGTGTGTCTTTTGTGGTAAGACAACCCTGTATAGGAATTTTCTCAAATTAAGTTTGAAGTTACCCCTTGGGGAGGGAATTTTATGCCCGAGTGGGAAGTGGTAGGCGTTTCATCTGCTAAACGATTGTAGAATCGGTGGACAGCTACGTAGGAAGAAGAAGCCCTCCTCTGGAGCCACCCCTTTTTTGGGATATTGCCCGTAGGTTCACACACACACACAAACACACAATGATCGGCTCAGTTAACATATAATCATTGCATTTTAAAAAAATTAGACTTGAAATGTGAACGAGTTATTTTTATGGGGAAAATAACATCTGGGGGGATCCATTCAAATGATTCCATTTTTTGCACACCATGGGAGAGGGCAAATTAAAATGGCTATTTCTGTCCTTATCCGTACTTACATGATCAGGGCGACTTTTTTTTTTTTTTTTTTTTCAAAAGGTGAGTTCTATTTCTGCATATTCCAGCGCCTGCAAAGCCCAGTGTGGCAACTTATCCTTTAACTCCTTTAGCATTTCGCCTTTTCGGTCCTCTGTGGGTGTAGTCTGTGTAGTCGCTATAATCGGTGTGCTTCTGCATTCCTCCCTTTCATCCACACGTGTTGAATTATCCTGCGTGTTCGTCGCCTGGGGGTGGCTTGGCCCCCCATTTGATGTATCCTCACCCGGGGCCGCCTTGTCATTATCGGGGATCTTATAGTTTCCATTCCTGCACCCGATGACGAAGTAGTTGTAGAGGAAGGTCGTCACGAACAGGTCCGTTTTTTCTAAAAAGATGGCAACTCGCAGGAGGTAGCAAAAGTGCAAGGTAAAATAAATATTATGTATGGTCAAGAGGACATTTACAATTGGGTTCTTCTTCGAAATAAGTAGATGCAGAGCCGATTTAGAAAATTTAGAACACACATAGCAGTGACAGTTTTTCACAAGTGGAGAGAAATCAAAGGCATACTTGGCTTGCTTCAATTTTATGGTTCCGTCATAGCTCAAGGCAGTGTTAAACCTAGCCGTCCTCGACGCATACACACAATCGTACATGTCGTAACCCAGGAGAGAGCAAAAGAGAATATCAGCGAGGTAGCCAATGCCCATAATGTACCTGCATTTATTTTCTGGTAAATGATTCCATTTTTTATTTTTCTCATTTGAGCAATGGTGCACTATGTTAAAGAAGTCCCTTTTTTTTTCACCACCACAGAGTCCCCCCACAGCATAGCCATTCAGTTTCTGCTTCAATATGAATTGCATAGATTCGTTTCTCAGTCTGATGTGAAGTCCCCCCTGAATTATTCCAAATAGTGTTTGCTCCGTTTCCCTACTATGAGCTTGTATGCACCTCTGCAGCCACCTGTTGGTCCTGTGCGTCGCCTCTTCTATCTTTTGCACGTCCGTTTCCGTCGCGGGGCGCACGTCGTCCAGGGCCATGATGATGTCGCTCCCGATGTGGTTCTGCAGCCGTATGGAGCTTTCGGGCGTCAGCAGGATTTCCCTCCGGGGGGCGGCATCCATTTGGTTAGCCGTGTCCCCTATCTCAGCGGATGCCGCTTCCATCACTTCCCCCACTTGCGTCAATTCGGTCACTCCCCCCACGGCGAGCACGTTCCTGCGCATAACCGCGTCGTCGTAAATATTGTCAAAGAGGATGCCCTCCTCCAGAATCTTTATTCGCTTGCTGAGGGAGACCATCTGGAACCCCCCCGAGTCGGTCAGCATGGCATTTGGAAAACGAATAAAATTGTTAATGTCCTTGTTATGTACAAAAGTTGACATGTCATATATATTGGCTAAGTGGTATGTGTTGCTCAGGATTATGTGGTTGCACAGGAGCTGCACTTCTTCCTGCACCAGGCCTTTGATGCAACTCTTCGTGCCGACAGGCATGAAAATGGGGGACACGACCACGGTGTTTTTCTTGGCGGTGGGGCGGCCTTCCGTCTGCTTCCCCTCAACATGCTCCCCCTCCATATGCCCCCCGTCCGTGTACTTCTTCTTAATAAGTATCAAGTTGATCCTGGCTCGTTTGTGCTTCTTTATATTTATAAGCTTCAGATTCTTCTTGTACTTTTGTTCTTGCGTGGTGGTAGCGGCCTCCTGCTTCTTGTTCATCTCCCGGTCGCAGCCACTCTCTTCTCCCCCCTCATCACCCGAACTTCTAATCACATTGGACAAGTACATCTGCGCTTGGCCACCCCTCGATCTGAGAACAGCGATTTGTTTATTCACGTCTTCCATATCAATGTAGGCAAAGCTCTCCTCACAAAAGCGTACAAAATCGTCGTACTTTTTATAATCATTTTGAGTGAAGAAGTCAAATGGTAGGGGTTCCTGCGGGGGGTTACTCGGGGGAGACTCCCCCATGGCCACTGTACCTTCTTTACCCCGTATGCCGCTTCCAACTTTTATTTTTTTTTTTTTACTCCTGTGGTTTTCGCTTGAAGGAGAGTTACTCTCCGGGAAGCAGGCCTTTTTTTTTCTACTTAACTTATCATTTGGTTCTTCCATGTCGACGTCACGCAAAAGCCCACCTCAATGATTTCACTTGGTCAGGGCAGAGACGCGAGGTTTAAACAGAAGAGTTTGCTCCTTCTATAACAAATATATATATACATACGCTCTTTTGTTACCACTCCGTTTTAACAACTACTGGCTGAGGTGTAACCCAGTGCAGCGCAAATTTTGTTTTGCAAAATTGTTGATCATTTTTGAGCGAAACTTCCGCAATTGTGGTGCCTAATCCTGTTCGTGCTTTTGTGTTACCCCCCATGCATTAGATGCGCCAACGTTGGGTTAGGGTTAATCAGTCCACCCGTTCAGCGTTTCAGTTACAACGGGGCATTGAAAAAAAAAAAAAAAAAAAAAAAAAATGCTAATATGGTGAGCACAGCTAATTTTTTTCTTCCCCCTTTTGCATCAATTTTTTCCTCGTTTGTGTTACTCCAAAAACGGTTGCTAAAAAATGTGGAGGCGGCTTCTATTCATCTGGCAGAGTGTCACTCCACTGTCGAGGTGCTACGAAAGGATTTCATTTTTAAATGAAGATACAACCTCTCCAGTCCGCTGGGTCATAGCGCATGGCGTTAAGGAGATGTTTCGCGGAACAGGCGAGGAAGCCGTGCCAAAGTTTACACATCCATTGGGGCGAACTCCCCATCAGCAGCTGCTTCTCCTGTTTTTTGTACTCCCTCAAACTAATGCAACTCGCAGAATGCACCGACAAAGATCTGTTTTCATTCTGTTCACTTAAAAAAAATAAATTGGCATTTGTCACGCCATCGCACCAAGGGCGGGGGAGACAGAAATAAAAGGCGTTTAATTGTGCATCCTTGGGCAGGAACAAGGGTAGAAAAAAAAAAAAAAAAAAAAAGAATAAACCCACAGAGGTTTTACAAATAAAAGGGGAAACTAAAAAAGCAAAATAAAGTGCAAAAACAAAATGGCAAATGGCAAAATGAACGGATAAAAATGAGGCAACAAAATAAACATCGTGACGTGCCAACAGGTCACTTCAGGCACATCCCAACATGTTCATCCTTCACACAAAGGAGTTAAAAAAAAAAAAAAAAGGCGCTAATCAGTAACTACTAAGGAAAAAGCGGAGAAAAAAATCCCCCACTTTCCGTCAGGCAAGAATACACATTCTGCTGCATAAACCCTGTAGAGACGTTGCAAATCTTTTACTTGGACAGACTTGCACGAAGGATGACTCGGCATGTACACATGCACACGTGCATACGTGCACGCATGGCTGCAAAGAACCCCTTTACAATTTGTAGTCTCTTCACAGAGATCCTAAAAGGAACATTCATGAAAAGGGTTTTTTCTTTCCCACCAGGCGTTCCTTGAATAATTCAGTTGCCCGATTTCAGGGTTCAGGATGACGGTTGGCTCATCCTCCCTCGGGGTACCTCCCTTAAAATGAATTACTCCTTCACATGTAATGAGCAATCTCCTTCATCCCCTATGGATAGGCTCAAAAAGGGGGAAATCAAATAAAGTCCAGGTACTCATCCTGCAACTCCATGAAGCGTTCGAATTCGTCCTGAGTCATATCTTGCTGCAATTTCTGGGCATCTAAAGAGGGGGGAAAAAAAAAAAAATAAAATAAACAAAATAAATAAAAAGAAGCATTTCCCCAACGCTGCCGCTCCACCCCAATAAAAAGGGACCGCTTCGATGCGACAACACATACGAGTGATCGATCACTCCCCTGCCATCTCTGCACAAGAGGAAGCAGACAAACACTCCAACCACAATATGCACATACCCATGAGCGAAAATTCCTTCTTAAATTTTTCTATATAGAAGAGGGGCATTTCCGGCTCATCAGCCTTCTGTGTATCCTTTAGCACAACCATCTCGCTGGTACTTTGTTGCACCTGGGTCAAGTCACCAGTTTGATGTTTGGCCCTTCCTGTGATGACGTGACCCTTGTGTACATTGTCATCTTCCGCTGGGTCTTTGCCAGGTGTAGTGGTCCTTCCGCCAGTGGAAGGGGCTACCACTTGGTTCGCTCTTCTTTTTCCCTTTACGTTCATGCATATTTTAATTTTTTTGTCTGACCGTATAACGCTGCTGCAGGCGTCCGTGGGCGTTTCTTCGTTCTTTGCTCTCTTCTGTTCGGCCGCCGTTCCGGGGTTGTCTGCGGGGGGGGGGAAACAAATGCAGCCAGGTAAGCCACCGTCATCCATATACACATGCGCATGTACGCGAAAGCACTCTCGCTCGTGGATTGACCCGCTGCTGCCTACTTTGAGACACCTGGGAGGAATTATTCGTGAGGGACAGCTCGGAGGAGTTGTTCGTCATGGATTCGTCTGACGAGTGGTCCGCGGCGAGGGAGTGCAGAGAGTCGGGGGGCGCCACCCTGGTGAACTTTTCTGTGTAAAGGGGAATGAAGTAATTTTTGAGCTTCTCCGTGTGCTCCTTTAAAATGTTGATGTACTTGGTGTACCGGTTGTAGATTCGGTCGTTGCTGCTTTCGTCCTTCTCCTGCAGTGCGTGGTGTGTGATGAGGCGGCGATGAGGTAGCGGCCAGACGGCGACGACGCAGCGGTGTGCTTAGCGACGAGACGGCGACGCCACTTACCACGAGTTCAATCTTATTGTTGCAGAAGCAAAGGAAGTGCGCGTCGTACGCATCCAGTGGAAGCAGCTGAGCATCCAGTTGAGAGTAAGTCGCGTTACAAAAGTTACAAACATACATGTCATTGTCAGTTCGATCCTTCCTCAACTGAACTTCCATCTGCCTAATGCGATAATCAATCACATACACGATGTAGTTGTTCAGGCAGTAATACACTTGGAAGGTAGACCCCCTCTCTGTCGTTTTCAGTTTTTGTACTTGGATTATAAATTTCTCCTTTAACAGTTTAGAAAGTATACTCCGTATCTTTTGCTCGTTCATGTTGACGCTGTTAATTATGTCCTTCTCTAGGTAAAGGCATTCGTTGTGAACGAATAGGTCAAACACGACAATTTCTTCATCGCTTAAAAAAAACCTGCTCACGTATATCATGAGGTGCAAGAAGAACCTCTTCTCCTTGTCGTAGAAAATTTCTTTCGACTTTTCCATCTTTTGTGTTCTGGCTCGGGGGAGTGTGGAGGGGGGGACGGACACAGAAAGGACTAATCTTTGACTGGGCGCCTTTAACAACCCCTCACTCCAACCTTCTATCCGTATGCGCTGCTGACTATGTAGGACGACGACATGGTTTGAGAGTCTTGTTCAGATGGGCTACTCTTACAAGCGGTAAATGTGGTCATAAAAAAAAAGTTACTGCTTTGTGGATGGGGCATAGGGGGGGGTGATTGGGTAATGCCTTAAAAAACTTCTTAAAGAGGGTCCTAAAACGTACAAAAAAATTACGAAGCGAGAGAAGTACGTAGTTTATGCAAGAAGCAAAAAAAAGGGTGGAGCTTCGTTCATTTCGCTTATTTTGTCCCTTCTCCGCTTTTTTGTTTCCTTCCCTGCTGCTCAATTTTTTTTTTTTTTTTTTTCCAAAGTGGCCCCCTTACAATACAGCCCGTTGTATATAGTAGGAAATGTTGGGGGGGAGGAGTCGGCGTGTGGTGGAATTTTTTTTTTTTTTTTTT